TTTTTGGCGAATAGTATTGAACCACAGCATTAATCTCTTTTTTAAAGGAGAGAATGCCTTCCAAAGCAACATTTACTTTTCAGGGCACAGTGTGTATTTTTTAAATCCTCCTTTGATGTTTCTTGGTCTACTTTGTTTTTAAAAGCTCACCAGAAATCAAAAAGGATTAGTAGGTCATGATCCTCCAAGCTACCTGGTATAGATCAGCCCAGGAAAGGACAGAAATGAAGTTTAGCTAGCAAAGAAAAAATGCTTGCCTGAAGCAATTTGAATAACTTTTTCTGAGTCGCAAATTAATTAAAACTGCTTTGGTATTTTGTTTTCTATTTATAATCATTATCATGTAAAGAATACTTTAAATAACAAAAGGAGAAAGCAGAATATGTGATATTTAACAGATCATAAAAACCAAATATGAATATTAATGTGCATTAAATATCTTCAACTATGCCACCGATACTTCATACAACAAGCAGTTTTTTCCACTCATCCTCAAAAGAAAAACTTTCCTGAACCAAAGTATGCTTACCACTTTTTTTTTAAATGGAAACTTGAATTAGTATTTTCTTAAAAGCATTGATTGCTAGTATGATATTACAGAGTAGAAGTAGAGGAAGTCTTGAAAGTGATATTAAAAAAAGATCTGGATTCCTACTTCCTCCAGAATTCAGGGCTCTAAATGTGGTATCTGAGCAAACACCAACTCTTGACCTCAAATCTATATTCTTCGCTGAGGTTCGTCCACTAGGATAAGGACTGCTGTGTAGCAGTTAAACACAAAACAAACCTGAAATTTGTACCTTCTGAGGTTTGGTTCTGACCAGCCTTTGAAACAAGATTGCTTTCAGTCAATCGGTTATTTCAGCACTTGACATCACCCCCACATAAAACAAGGCAAATGGCCAATTAGCTAACTGGAAGTTTTCCAGTTCAAAATGGTGCCAAAATGAATGAAGATGAAGTGGAGTAGGAAAAAAAAAAAGAGTTTAAATTGGCTGAACAGTCAGCTCTCTATGGGAAGCTGAAAATAGAAATCAGTTCATGGAACTCAGGAGCTTCACTATCTTCTATTTGGGGAAGATCAAACTTCGGCATTTGCAAGTTAAACAGGGATCCCCAAGGCTTCTAGAGAGTACTTTATAAAAAGAGGTTTTATACAGGACCTGTGTATTTTGCAAATAAAACTGCAGCACATTAAATTCTAATCACATTCTATTCATAGCATCTGAAATCAGAGTATAAATTTGCTTCCTACAGATAATTATCTGGACTGGAGTTTTAATCTTATACGTATGCCATTACCCCTATGCAAACATGGATAACTTTTAGCTTTTTCTCTTCAGCAACATTCAGCTATTTTGACACTTTAAGTGGTTATGAGTTGGTTTTAAATAAAGACAGCCTAAAGAAATCAGATTATATGTTAAGCAATAGTATTTGAACTGAGAAAGAAAAGAATACAGCCTTGTAGAATAACAACTTTGCTTGGGAAATAATGTGCAAATACCAGAAAGAAAAGTAGTTAATCATGCCAGCTTTGTAAATATAACTTCTATAAAAGTCAATGCTGCTTTAAATACATCTATCAGGCCCCTCAAACAAACTGTTAAGCTACATCAGAAATGCATATAAGTATCCTAAACAGGAAAAATTCCCCTGCAGAAAATTTCCCATTATTATAAACTTGTTAGTTATGTTACAGAACAGCACTTCAATCTTCTGTCAAAACATTAGCAGCATACTACAGTCCAAGTTAGATATACCAATGTTTACCTACTAAATTGTACCCTCTAGTACAACTTTGTAAAAATGTCAAGAACATCATGAAGCAAAGATTATAAATCTTTGTGAAAAAGCAACCATATTCCTGATATAAAATAAATTTTAAAGGGAAAAATACAACTGCAATTTATCTAAATTGTCATTCTCAAAAAAAAGCAGAATAACAAACTTCAAATATTACTATATTTTTCTTTACAAAATTATTATAAAATTTTGGATATCAGGCTATCAGGTGCACCTGCTGACAAGCAAATTAGCTCTGCATTTAAAAGATGCTGCCTGATGCAAAATTCCTTTTCTTCCAGTGAAAATCAAGCAGTGATTTAAAGAAATGGGGGTTTCAGATGCCTAATGATGCAGATAGAACTGACAATTATCAAGTTCCTCAAACAAGTGCACTTCACATAATTTGGTGACCTTGTAATGTGTCTAAACTTAAAAAAAAAGTCCAGTTAAAAAGCAGCTTCACATGACTTTTTATGAACTGTCAAAAGAACAATGTATTCAGAGAGATTGTGAACTAATCACAGGTCCGGCACTCACAGCATCCCATGTTGCAAGGGAAAAGAACTTCACACTGTTGTTTGTGAAACAGATTCAATTTGACTCACCAAACTTTAGAACCACAAAAGACAAGTTGCATGAGTCTAATAATGCTTCAGAACCATGTTTTAAAAGCACTGGTACTTGACCATGCAGCCAGACACAATGAACCTCCTGGTATCCACCACATCACAGAGGCTGACCTTAGCAAGGAGCTGAACTTAGCAACAACCTTTAACTGCAGAGCTGTTACTGAAATGATTAGTTACAACAGCTCTGAGCAGGCAGATCACTTCACCAGTGTGCATCTGTGTAAGATCAGGGCCTGAACATGTTTCTTCCCTTCATCTGGCCTCAGCTTCAGGAAAAAACACGTTTCACTTGTCCCAGCCCACTCCCCATGTCAGTGGACATTAAGCACATGTCGCCTCACTTTTGGAGAGCACTGCATTTTTTTACCTCGTAACTGTTTGCTGAATTGCCTTCCACCAGTTCTCACCTTGGAAAAAACTTTTTAAGTGCATTAATATGGTACAATTCAACTCTACTATACATGAATCACATGAATCAGTAGTGGGACATTACTTACAGAAGGCACCTGGACCCAGAGGAGTCCTTACACAGTCCTTCTCTAAGCAGATTTCTGTCTATCCCTCCAGTCACCAGAGCCCTTGCCTTCCCTGCAGAACACTGTTTATTCCCTCTCTCCATACTGCTTAAAGCTTCATAATCATCTCTAACCTTGCTGCTCTGCCTGGAGGAACTTGTGCCATAGCACCAGCAACAGCAGCGCTGCATCTTCAACCATAGCTGCTGCAGCACTTCAAAGGCAGCTACCACAGCCCAGGATTTAGACTGCAGCTGGAAATTGAAGGCTCAAGGTGGGGTCCTCAGGGCTGAGCAAAAAGAGCAAAGCTCATTTGTAAGGATTAAAAGGTGGACAGGTAATGGATCTCTGTGGGGCAGGAAGGAGAGAGAAAAGCAGAGAGAGTGGAAGTCAGTATACAATACAAAAAGCTGAGGAGGTTAAGAGGGGCAGCAAAAGGAGGGGCTGAGGGCACAGAAGAGAGGAGATTCCTGGTTAGTGTAAATAATATACATGTATGCTAGGGAGAAAGAATGAGGGCAGTCTGGAAACATAAACAAAAATATCTTCAGAGAAGGTAGGCCTTTAACATAGCAGTTGGTGAAAAGATCAAGAGGAACAAAATACAAAAGGATGTACAAGTCAAAGACAGCTAGAAAAATAGGCATTGAGAGTAAAAAACTGTGATGAGACCAAGACAAAATCCATCTGTAAAACAGCTTGTACTGGGACGCATATAACATTTTTCGTACTGCAGAATACCCAAAATATAAAAGCAAAAATTTTTATTGTTCAAGGTGATAATGGACTTTGCATATGAAGTTATAAAAAAGCATTTTCTTTTGAAAAGTAAAATTACAGAAATTTTTTAAAGAAAAAAACTTAACTAAAGAAGTTGGGTGTTTATGACCATACTACATATGACTTGGGAAGCAGGACCACGAAGATGATACACCTGGACTAGAGAAAGACCACAGCCACCTGCCTGAGCTACATTGTGCTCAGCTTCTCAGAGGGGGCAGTTCTTATCAATATCTGAACATTCGAGCAGAGCTGAGGCCACAAACACACCAAGAAATGTAAAGATTTAAAAAACGTTCCACCTGCCTTGGAGGCCATAAACTTGTGAAGTGAGTAACTATAAAGAAAAACTCTTTGAAGAGAAGTTCTCATGTGGTGGTAGTGGAATAGAGTTCTCCTCCATAGTTGCAGTTAACTATACAGTAAAGCAATGCAGTGGGACACAAACCCTATGGGAAGGAGCAAGAATTCAGACTAGAATGAATCATTTACTGCAAATCACACCTACGTTAGTGCAGCATAATTTCTCAATATCCCAGCTTCTTAGAATTCCCCAGATCTGAATGCTAAACAATGCACACTAAGTTATATCACAGAGTTATATAATTATGTGTTAAGCTAATAAATGGGATTTTTTGCCATCTGCAATTTTTTTGACATAGTTAAAATATTTTAGCTATTTTGTTAAACTACTAATAGTTTAATTGTTCCAACTAATAAGTACTTGCTTAAACAGCTTAACATTCACTTGAAGAACCTAATTTTCACTTGCAATATACAAGCCTCCTTCATAGCCTCATTACTCTCTGAATCTCCAAATGTTTCCTTGTAGTTATTAGAAAGCACATTCTAGAGTTTAAACAGGAAAAGATTTCTAGTTTGGGCATTGAGATGGCTTAACTTCTTTCTCTTCTTAGCTTTCTGTTTAGATGTGCCAGCCAAGAACTGTGTGCGCTGCTAGAAAAGCAGCAGGGAACAAGTGTGAAGATCACAGAGCACACAGTTTTTTCTTTGTCATTTATTCTATATTCGAAAGAAAAGAATACCAGGCCAAAAGTCATTATGTTAGTTATTTAAAGTGACTGATGCTAATTGATCCATCAACAGTTTCTAATGCATGATGAATATACCACTCATCATTTACAGACCAAACTGTTGACTGAGATTCATCCATATTCATAAAGACATATAAGCCTATTTATTAGTGCAAGAAGAAATGCTGATGTGGTGATAAAAATACACAAAAACACTAGCATTTTTCAGAGCATCCATGGAGACAATTTGAGACTTCAGAGAAATAACTATTTTTATAATAACAGCTTTATTTCAAGCACTGTTTCTCACTGGATACAACTTATACATTTTGTGCTAAGTGTATATATATTAATAGAACACTTTCAAAATTATCCCTAGATAAAATATATATTATGTGTTTAAACTTATTCCAACAACAGCTTTTCCAAGTAACATTTTGTTGAGTGTTAGTTCAAATAACTGGAGAAAAAAAAATTAAAAATGCTTTGGCAAAATACCATTCCACGGTGATGTCTTTAAAAGCATTTTGAGTGCAGGGCTTCCTCATCTATTTTTATTCTGGTATCAGTCAAATAGAGAGGAGGAAACATAAACACAGTTATACAGTTTCATTGAAATATAATTTAAAAGAATATAGACTGAAATTTTTCAAGTGTGTTGTCTCATGTTTGAATTTGAGCCAGTCAAAAAACTGCCTGCTGCTTCCTAATGGACAATGGTGAAGATGTTTCTGAAACCTCTAATGGCATTGTTGTGCTGGCTGGTCCCTGTTAAAACAAGTTCCTGGTATCCCAGAGCCTGCATCAAGGCAGGAGCACTGCAAAGGTATCGAGCCAGAGAAGAACAGGGTGGTCACTGAACTGCACACATTGAGCTCCTGGAAGGATTGGCGGCTCTTGTCACAGGCTCCTGACTGTAGTTGACAATATCTGCCTTCACCACTCTCTGTCACAAAAGAAAACACAGTAACAATCAGAAAACAGAAACTTCATGCTGGCAAAGCATTCAACAGATTTTGATGAAATACAAAGGGGAAAATAACAAACAAATCAGTATTTTTTTCCCACTACCTTACAGGAAACCCTATCAGGTGCTAATGCTTGTTATAATTCTAGGTTTATTCGTGCTAAGCAGAAGCAAGTGCCTTGGTAGGTTATCACAACACTACAAAAGGACTAGAATTTTCTTCCTAAAGCAGTGAATAAAGTTTTACTTCCATGAAAATTTTTCTGTGTCAGAGTAATAAAACAGAATTTATTTGCAAAAGTTGTGCCATTCATTCTTTAATAATAACTGCCTAAATTGTAACTGGAAATTCTAAGTCTTTTTGTCTTTACTCCAAGCATTTCATCAGAAAATATGGACAGAATTCAAAGTAAATTTTAAATACAGCAATATTTTTAAACAGCTTTGATAGGCACACTGGCTAAAGATTGTATTAACCTAAAAAGAAGCTCTGCATACTATATTTATTCTCTAGTACAATCTAACAGATATTACACATTCTATTTACAAAGCACATGATAAGACTGATGCTCTCTCCTACATGAGGAGACAGAAATGCACTATTTTGCATACATTTCCATCTGAGACAGCTATGTAATATTTTGAATGTACAGCACTGAATACAGTAACATGAAGCATTTCTAAGTTTCTACAAACTATCTGACTATTAGAAACACTACATAATTAATTGTAATTTAAAAAGTTCCAAAATAATATGTTGAGTATTACAAGTACTTACACGTACAATACACAATCTTCCAAAAGAACTTACTTTAACAGTTGTTACTTCATGTAAAAGCAATGCAACTCATAAAAAAGAAACAAACCAAGTTTTCCATCAATACCTGAACTACTGCATTGAGCAGACTTTGCTCTGGCAGTTGGAAGTGTGATGTTGGTTATCTTCTTCAGGATATTTCACTAGTTCTGCCCTGACAACATTCTGTTAACCATGTATCAACATGATGGATAGAGGGCAAGGAGAAGAATGTAAAAAGAAAAGAGAAGGAAAACAATGGAGAGATTAATCAGTAGTTGAAAAGAATGAATGGATAACATAAGATTTTGCAGAAGCAAAAGGAAAGTGCATTTTCAGGCCTTAGGCAGATACAAGAGCAACAGTCTGGCTGAAAGCGGCACTCAGCACCAGGGCTGCCTGTTGAGCTTTTTCCAGAACATGCCCTCTCAAAGCACCAAAGTGAAAGGCTCATACATGCAATCAGCAAAAATGTATTAAAGCTAGAGAAGGGACAGGATAAAAAGGCAGGGAATTTAGTGGAAGAAAAGATGACAGTGGCCTATTCCTACTTTAAATCAAATATACTTAAATACTACATTTTTAGCTCATAACAAGTGCATTAGCTGTACACATGCATCTTTTCCATCACATACCTATCACATTACACCTAAATATCTAATCCAAAAGCAGTGACCAAATTAACAACCACATATCAAAATGCTCTAAGTTTTGATTTATCTTTGCTTCATTTAAAAATAAAAGGCTCCCATTTTTCCCCTTAGAGACAAACCAACAAAACTGTTTTCTTATTATTAATACAGGTAATAGATACAGGGTTCTCATTATTAATACAGGGTCAATACAGGGTTCATGCGAAGGGAAGTAAAATTCATGGAACAATTTCAGCAAAGAAGCAGCAGAGGAGGTAAGTCTGCTATGAAAGATACCCTAAACCAGTTTAATACTTTTTCTTAAATACTTCAACTTTCCTACAATATATTCTCAAAGTTAAAATGAATTCATAAATAATTAAATTATATTATTTTAAAGGAAACAATATATAAACTGGATTAGGAATATATAAACAGTATACATTAAAGATTACCTCTGTAAATAAAACCTGTATGTCAAACAAGCAACAATAATTCAATAGGCTTGCAAAGGACCTGGATTTATTAGCTGCTGAAGTACTCTTCTTGAGCTTAATTCATCACATTCATATTATCTTATCTAGTGGACAACACTCATGATTTACTGGACTCCTGGCCTGATGTTATCAAGAGAAAGGTTGCCAAATCCCATGTAGGGCAGTAGTAGGAGTTTTAGCATTAAACAGCATTATCTGACCTCACAGGACCTAGTTTCTTCATACCAATCATTTGACTAGAGCTGAGGGGCAAAAAAAAAAACCCAAGAGAAAAAGTCCTGCAATCAGCAGGCAATTAATTGTTCCTCAAACATTGGTCTAAATCCCATCGTGTAAACACAGGCAGGTTAGTGACCTATGCTTAGCTACACTGTAGCAAAAACCTGATGATCATAAATGACTTGGATTTTCTAATGGAATTTCATCCAAATAACAGTTTAAAAATATCATTGCAACATTTCTTTCATTAACTTTTTGGTAATTAAAAACTTGGGCCTCTTTGCATCAGATCCTACATCAAGTGTATCATTGCCATGGTTCAAATCACTGTCAATAATGAGAAATAACCTTTCTTGGTCCAGGTGCTCTGTATTCCAGTTCTGACTTATCTGCCAAACACTTTATTGTACAAAGCTGGCACACACACACTGGTCTGCTGAACCAGTATTTAGTTAGAGAGAAAACTACACATCACTTCCAAAAATGCTAGCTCTTGCCAATGCCAAGGAACAAAGCTGTACCCCATGCAGTTTTTACACTATGGTTGGAAGTAAAAAATACAGAAAGAAAAACATTTGATTAATAAAGGAGCTATTTCCTCACATTTCATCAGACCCTTGCAATTTAAAAGGGAGAGTATTTTGAGGACTGAAAAGTCAGACTCTGCAATTTTCTCATTTTGAAACTGTTCTATTTGAAAAAACATGCTCTACTTTCCAGTCACACATGAAGAGTAATCTAGTTCTTTGTTTCACCAGTTTTGTCCAAATAAAGGTTTGATTAACAGCCATCTCAGCACATGAACAGACAAGGTTTAGTAGCTCTAGCTGAGATAGTTTAAAAACTTACCACCCCCAAATGTCTGTCCTACTCCTCTGCTGGAGATCATTGCTGCCAAAGGAGAGCTGCTGGAATGTAACATGTACTTGCACCTCATCCACTTCAGCACAGTCTGGCAGCTTCTCTTTAAAACAACTTTCAGCAGCAGTTTAAGCTAAGCTGCTCAACTTCACCCTGATGTGGCCAAAGCACATGATCACCTTCCATGTTCTGATTCTGATGTGGGAGCAATACATTCCAACAAAAGGGCAGCAGCAAATAGCTTGGGCTGCATTAATATCTTAAACTGCTGCAGCTGTTTTCTGAAACAATGCAGAGTAAATATAATTCAACCTCCAAGGCTTGTTCTTGCAGTCAATTAACAGAAGTTGTGCTGCTAATCTGAAGGCAACCAAGAACCTCACATGCTTTTCACAAGAGCATCTGCAGTTCTGCTACTCATCAAAGCTCAAAAGTCATGAGCCAAACCCCACAAATTCATACAAGTTAAAATACTGTGTTTGGGATTTCTATTACTTAGTTGTACCCACCTATGAGTCATATCTAAAATATTCTAGACTATAATAATCATAACTGACTCTAAACACAAGAAATAAGATCTACAGGCACAAAATCAAGCACTAAAAATAATTTTAAAGCATGTTCTCAATACTAGACAATAAAAATACACATATAGCATTTGACTGTTGGCATTTTACACAAATTCAGTATTTAATGCCTAGATTGAATGAACATATCTGATGTTGTCTGACAGATTCAAGCAAGAATGATCTCAGTTTTTAAAATAAGGAAATCTCACATTACATAAAATATGGAAAACGCAAATATATAATCCAGTGTGTAAATAATGCACATTTGTAAAAACCAAAATCCTTATTTAAAGACTGAATCCAAGTCAACACTTGTATACTTTACAGATAAGTCACATTTACTATTGTCTTGTATTTATTAGATTCTTTATAGCATTTATCTAGCATCTGATTATCCACTGATCTAATTTTATAGCCCAGTAGCTAGAGTATTCAATGCCTAAAAACTTTAAGGAACACACATCATATAACTGACCCACAAATTAAGGAACACACGTGCCCATTTTAGAGATGGAAGAGGGAAAAACTCACACCACCACCACACTGAAGGGACCTGCATTTGTCATACCAGAGTCTACTGTAAAACAGAAACCTGATTATGGCATTGTCCTCTAACTCCACCTCCTTCCAGCCAAGAGAACAGCCCCATGCTGTTGGCAAACAGCATCTGCACATCACTTCAATTAGACTTTTCTACTGCAGACAAATTAATTTCTCTCAAGTGAATTTATCTTCCTGAGGATATGAAGGTTCAAGTTTTCACTCTCCAGATTATGAAGAGACTTCCACTTCTCTGTTCTTATGAAGTATTGGGGGTGTTTGGTTCCATACAACAATGAGCCTTAAGATACAGCTAACAGACTTTCCAACTTTCTCATTGGGGAAACTCTTAGAATCCCTTCAAAATAACCCTCTCAAAAGGAGCAAAGGTTTTACTGATAACAAAGAGCTATTGCTTGTTTGGAGTAGATTAAAATTATGCCCCATTAACAGAACTTTGCAAATTAAGCATCTCACTCTCCTTGGCTACAAACACGTTTCACCACATAGTGACTTCTGCTGTACCTGAAAGGTAACAGTGAAGTTCATTTTCTGTCCAAATTCATTTACTGGCTTTGTTTCTTCTTTTGTTGTTTATTTTGTCAGTGGTGGTGGTTTTTCAGAGATTTTTTTAAATCTTTTTTTTGATAATTAGAGCCTAGATTCATATCAACAGTAATATATGCCACAACATTTAATTTATGCAAATTAACTATTTACAGTCTATTGCTAATGCAACTTGTGTAATATCAACTGACCCATATATTCCATTGATCTACTCAACAAAATTAAAAGCTAATTACAATACTAAAGTAGAAGGAAGCCTACTTAAATCTGATACCAGTTTGATATAATTATGTACTCTTGAACTGGGGCCATATGGAGCTTCCTACTTTAAAAACAATCTATAACCAGACTCTTTCTTTGGAATGATAAAGTTTTCCGTATAACCTATTATCTCCTTTAAATTTAATTACACACCTTTCTACAATCTTACACCTGAGTTACAGAACATCACTCATAGCACAGAAAGGTCTTGGACTGATAGTCCAGTGCTAGCTAAACAACCAAAGAAAAACTGAAGACCTCTATGTGCTCAATTATTTAGAGACAAATAATCACAGAGCTCAAAATAATAGATGGATAGTACCTTAGCAGTAAAAGAACATTTAAAAGACACACTTAGTATTTATCTACCTATAAATTACAGCTTTTTAAAACTAATTTGTTTGTTAAGTGTGCTCTGTAAGTTTATTTTAAAATTTTACTGTTTGCAATACAGTTTTCTAGTTAACCACTTCAACACAGATTGCAAACACTGCTGTGGCAAAGCACTTTCAGAAATTACATATTTATTGTATAATTCAAAAAGAAGGAGACCAAGCTGTGCATAAGAAATGCTTTGCCATTTATTTTAAATAAACTTATACGCTTATTTTGTGGTACTTGTTTAACACTGGTATTGAAAAGCAGATCTAGGATATTATACCATTTTAGAACAGCAACACTTGGGTTCACTAAGTAAATTTAAATAATTGTAATCTCAAATGTCATTACACAGGGTTGCCTCAGTAGTTTAATCTTTCTTTTTGAGGTTTCTAAAACTAGGTTGTAGAAAAATTTTTCAGTTTAAACCATGTAATACCATATAATATCATTAGCATATAATTTCATTAATATCTTCCATGCTACCTGTATATGCACACATATTTAATTTCCAAACTAGTCTTAAGTGCTATTTTTAAAAAAATATCCTTAGAAATAAATTTTTTTCTTCATTTTTGAACATGTTCTTTCTTATTTCAGGGAGTTGATCATGATGGATAAGTAAGGAATTATCATACTTCAAAAAAGCTGTTATGAAATCAAATATTTACCTTCAGAACAACAGATGAAGATTTATTTAAAGAACAGTTATAAATCCACAAGATCACTTTTAATACTAAATAAAATACTAAAAAATCCATGTATTTGTGAAAAATCACCTGTGATTGTTCCAATTCTGCTTTGTTTAATTTGATGCCGAGTATGTCAGCAGCAATTCTTTGAAAACACAGGAAGACCTATGGAAAGAAAATAAATTGCATTTCAATGATTAAAAACAGACATCCTTGAGGTACTTTCAAATATATCAAACCATTCCTGAACAGTAAACAGTGATATACAAAATTATGACCTGTGCAAAACAGATCTGAAAAAAACCTCATCTGGTACTTGCAATTTTGTTTAAAAATTTGAGAAAATAACTCAACAATGGTACAAGGAATGAACAGTATGCTGGATTGTTAAGCAACACTTCTACTTTGCCTCCAGAGACCTAAGTTTAAACAAGCTTTTACACAACCCACCTCTCAAATCCTACTCTTGGTGCTATAAAATATGAATAAGGGTATTCACTAATGTTGAGCACAAAAATGTATTACCAGTGTATTGTGAAATAAGAGATGTAGGCTTCTGAAACTGAGAATAACAGAACTGTACATCTACATCACAAAAATCTCTACCACATATGTCCAAAAAACAGCAGTATGAGAGAGTTCTGAAGACTCCTACAAAACATTCACTGAATAGAAGTATTAGGAACAAGCAGGATGTTGTACAGCCTGCAGCAGCAGCCTGGCAGAGCTAGACGTTGGACATGGTTTAACACATAATACTGGGTGGCAATGCTGTTTTAAACAAGTGCTTTAATTCATCTCATGACAGTCTACCTATCTCACTGTTTAGGTAAAACTGCATTTTAAATGTGATGAAAGAATATGACATGTTCAAGAGAAGCAGCTTAAGTGTGCAGTCCTGCTAAACACTGTATTGCCAAGCTACAAGTTATATTTTATCTGCAGGGCCGTTAACAATGTCTGAGCTCACCATCTAAACACCTAACAAACATTGGTTTGCATCATGCAGCTGCCACCCACAAAAAAAAAAAAAAAAAAAATCTATGTACATGCTCACCGTCATTTCCAGTGAAAATTAAGAAAAATACTATTTACACAATCTCTTCCAACACCCAAGATGGAACCAGAAATAAATTAGTGGCACAACCAATGAAGCGTGGTCACTTCCAAAACAATTGCTCTTTCTCTCAGCTCCTTGGTGTAGTACTGGTCTGTTCTACCAACATGTACGCAACAAGAAAGGGCACACTGAACAGAGATTCTGAGGCTCAGAGACCTAGTTTAACCCACACCAGCTCAGGAGCTCTGAGCTACATCACTTGGCCTGAGGACACGCTGCAAAAAACATCAAGCACAAGTGCAGTGCTTCAGCTATGTGATTTGGAGGACAGTAACACAGTTAGTAATAATAAAACTGTAATAAAGAAATTACATGAAATTTTTTTGCCCCTGAGATGACTTTCAGATTTTTCTTTACACACAAAATCAGCTTTTGCAAATAAGTCTGTTGAAAAGATCTGACAGAAACAAAACAAATCATATAACTAAGACACCTCTAGTCTATTTTCACAGTAGCAATGGATGCCTCTTCTAAAATCACTGTCTAGGATAAACACTCCATGTTCTAAATGATCAGTGTGCAGCAGCAGTGAAAGGGATAATTCAGATTTATACTGAAACTAAAAATGTACTATTGAAACTACTTCTTTTTTTAGTAGATATTTAGGCAGAGATTTCCTGTTAATGTTTTCTAGTCATGTTCAGATTTACTTCTATTTTAAACAGTAAATTATGAAAAGTAAAATCGGTATATATAGTGGAATGTTGATGCAATTAATGACTTAAAAAGCTGAAATAAAGATTCTGTCATAATTAGAAATGAAAAATGTATCAATTATAAAATTTATTGATTTTGGTGGTCTCCTTGTGAAAAGAATATATTTTATTAGATGCACATTTTACTAAGTGTAGTATTACAAATTTTTTTTCTGTTTCTGGCATAAAAAGCTTGTATTTTCACACTTTAGAATTTAACACAAACTATAAGGAGAATCAGGACTCACTGCATTTATAACAGCAGCATTTTTAGGCTTTACAGAAAAACCATTATCTTACAAAATTAGGCAGTTCACTGCACAAGATTCATCAAAGAACTGAACAAGGCATTCCATTTTTGGACTATACTTCCATGTACTTGACCATGGTCTTGCTATTCAATCACATTAAAGTAAAGTAAACTTTCTTGTCAACAGTAATATTAAGGAGACAGATACAAGACTGTTTTATGGGAATGACAAACTCATTAGGCATGAGACAAAAATCAAGCAAAACAATACAAAATTATTTAATTTGACTGATAGTGTCAAATGAAAAAGAACTTTTTCTTTCATATGCTTCCAACTAAAACAAATAACCCAGTTAGCTCAGAGTCAAAAGATTGTTCAAAAATGTACTCTGCAAAGCATCTGCTACAAATGTCAGAATGTTCAAATTTCAATGGAGCTGCAAAGGGAATGTCTCTCATGGCTCAGGACTCATATTAAAATCTTTTATTGCAACAAGGTCTTGTCACATTATTTACCAATTGTTGGAAAATTCTATATTGATGGTCTATAGATGGGACTCCACCTGGAATAAAGAAATATACTTAACTACAGGCTGACAGCAAACAGAGATTTAGCTGGTCTCAGTTTTCACACTGATGTATAAACCAGATCATTTCCATTAAAATCTGTACCTCAAACTGAAAATCAGATGAGAAACCACTGTAATTTAATAAGAATAGTACACATTCATACAAAAATCTACTTTTCATGCAACAAAGGGAGTCAAAAAAGGGCCTGCAGCACTCTGAGTTCTCAACAGTTGTGAAGAAAAATATAACTGCTGCATCTTGAAAAAAAAAACACGGACATCTACAAGTTTGGGGTTTTTCCTTACTTACAGAATCTCCTGTCTTGGCTGACACAAAATGGCTACTGAAGTTGTTTTCCTGACAGAATCGCTGGTGCTTGTCAGCTTTCACTGTGCGAATATGCTCCAAGTCAACTAAAAATAAGTTTAAGAAATGAAAAATTGTTACACTGGATCCTGTTTAGTTACTGACATTAGAAATTTTTCATTGGAAACACACCAGATATAATACTTTCCTTTACAGGTAGATGCAAATGCAAGTCTCTTTCTCTCTGTAATAATTTGCTAAAAAAAAGGCAATTAATTATATCAGACTAATTTTATTTGCAAAACTGAAATAAAACCACAACTAAAATTTTATGGCCAAATGCAACAAATTCATATCTCAAAGTACAAATTTATTTCTGCATACACTCAAATACTTTGTAAAACTCTGCTGCTAGCTACATACTAAAACAAGACAGAACTAATATTCCATATTCTGTTTGAAGCAAGATGCATATTGGGGATTCCAGTGTAACTTGAAGACTCATACAAAATAAATTCACCAGGCACATCTGAATCGACATATTTTTCCAAAGTAAAAATGTAAATAAGTTATAAAGAATTTTATTGCAGAACGTGGCAAAGGAAAAACATTCACTATAATAAAAAAATTGACTGAGTAAAAGCAGTGATGCTTAGTTACTTACATATGAGACTTTCAATTCCACAAAGGTGTGGTTCAGAAAATTTTAAAGAGTAAAATGCACATTTCAAGACACATACATATTTTTATTTTTATCACTTTACAACCATTGGAAGCAGAGTAAAGCTTTCAAATGGTATTTTATGCTGAAAAGTACTGGTTGCTTCCAAAATCTCACAGAACTCAAGCCTTGTGCAGGTTTTATTGTGTACATTCCAGTTTCTCCAATCTGATCCTAAGGTAATTGGAAACTATATTGAAGAGTTTCTCTTTTTTTTTATTACATTACGGTTCCTATAAGGGTGTTGACTCAATGTAGTCAAATTATAAGGCAAATATATTCAGAAGGATTTAAGGACAAGCAAGCTCTTTGAGTTAATACAGGAAAAAAAACTTCAACTGATTTCCTGAGGAAGGGACCCAACTGACTTGTAAAAACTTGTAAATTTGCAAATCTAGTAAGCCTGTATAATAGTGTTATTTGATTATCAGCTGAAAAAATGCTCTCCTACTACATAAAAGGCTTTATTTTTAAATCATATTGGAGGTCTTTAATTTTTAGGCTCTGGAGATTTTCTCTTGGAGATTTTTAGCCTAACAGGGGATTCCTACACCCCATTTATACTGCTTACCTTGGTTAATGTGGAGTTTTTGACACGTATTACTGTTCCTTGCACATCAGTAAGGCCTTGTTTGTAAGAACAGGCCTAAAATCATCCAGTTACCACAGACATCAATTTGTGAAGGACTAAAATACTAAGCTATTAACACTAATGTTTCTAGTATAGTTTTTCTATAATACTAAATGTCCATTCTATAATAAAGTTTCATTTTAAAAGAGAAGAACAAATACATTTAATAAAATAAAGCCTGAAATCAATAACAATTTTGTTAAAAACTCATGCATTTAATTTTATTCTCTGAAAAATAACTACCAAGATAAAAGATAGACTCTTTTGAAATGCCTTTAAGAACAAAATACAGCATACTGACTAAAACATTTCATTATTAACTATTATTTTTATGCTTCATATATTACTTTTAAGTGCAGCTTAGAAAAAACAACAGTGAGATTACTCTTTTGGGAAAAATAAAAATGTATTTTCTTTATTTTCATTTCATGAACTTTTAAAGGAACTTAAACCCCACTTCCAGATTTCACTCATTATACTTCTCTGATTATACCTGAACTCCAAAAACCTACACACAATTACAATAGAACTAAATAAATAAATAGACAGCATTTACACTATATTCCTTTACAAGACCATGACATGCTTACATAAATTCATAAAAACAAGTTCACTAGTTAGAATCTCTCTCAAACTCTCTTTCCTAGGAAGGAAAGAATAGAGAGTGTACAAAGAAAACAACAGGCTAAAAGGTTGATGGATTTCCAGGAAAAAAATGTCACCGGCATATTGGAAATCATCCTCAAATGCCTCTTATTTCCTATAAAGAAACATCAATAATAATATATGGTCAGTAGAGTATATCCTTTACTACAGAAGAGAAATTAAAGCACACGAGATCATAGAAACAAACAGACTGAAAGTGAAAAATCAAGGTGTCATTATGTTTTTGAACTTTGTGTGTTTCTCAGTCCTTCTCCCCAGACACAAGTACTTCACTTTCTGTCTCCTGAGCTTCAGGCTGTCTGCTCTCAACTGCAGAGGCACTGCCATGCCAGGGAACTGCCAGGTGACAGTCCATGTGTGCATTCAGAGCCCAGAGAAAATGCCAGGTGATTCATGTTAGGTTAGCTCTTGGTGAAAAAGGGCACATTTTTAGCACAAGAAGTGTTTCAAGAGTTAATAAATATTCAACTACCCAAATCTGCAGTTTGAAGTCAATGAAGGACAATGACCCTAAGTCCAATTGCTTTGCATTGCCCACGGGCCAAGGGCATAATCATAGAGTTACTGAAGATCAGCTGAAGACAGTGAGCAGTTACCCTCCAGTCTTTTTACTTTAACATCTGACATTGGTCAGCTCAACAGGCAAAATTCTTAGCACACCAGGAGATAAGTCTTGTCCAGCTTTTATTTAGACATCACAGCAAAAAGACTTTAGGGAGAGATTTGGAGGAGAAAAAGGATTTTCTAAAAAATATGTTTATGAGGAATGCAGGGACTTTACAGACAGAAAACTAACAGCTGGCCAGTGTGGGCTCATATGATGAGCCAATTAACAGCAGGAATAGGTATCTTGGGATGAAGAATGACATGAGAATGCACTTAAGCCATGAAAAGTTTAACAGCAAAGACAAGTTTTGGATAGAAAGAAAGCTAATAAGATACATAAATACCGTTTGATTTTATAAACCTGGAAAATGATCTTGCAGAATATTCTAAATGACTAGATAACACAGCAATAGCCAAGAAAAAGGAATTATTGAAATTTAGATACAAAATGAGAACATTTTAACTCTGGTAATGGCTATGCTAGGCTATATCTAACAAAGGTCTCAAAGAAGGAATCTGCAAGATTTGGCCACACATCAAACACAAACATTTAGAGAAAGGCCCAAAGTGAAGTTTACGTGCCAGATGGTACAGTCAACCTCTTCATCTTCAGGAATGAGAAAGAGGGTAATAGCAGGACAAAATTAATAGCTTTATTTTCACCAAGTAGAATACAAACTGATGGCTAGAGATTCACAATGGGATGAATAAAGGAGACAAAAGGACACAAGACACAAGTTTGAAAAGTAGAAAGAGATTTAACTATTTGCAAACAGTGACACACTACAGCACACAAATGTTTCACACCAGTATTTTTGATTGAGTGCTTGAATACAAACTCTCTTATGTGCATTAAAGGATATTTTCTGATCATGAAAAGCTAAGGCACACCCAAGATGTGTAAATGTTGGAGAAGGCAGTGACGGTATTTCTTTGATCTACGATTTCAAAAATTCTAAATGTCTTAAAAATGGGATCAACAGGCAGAAGGGGCAGTTAAAAGTATACATTATGAAAGCAATAGTTAAAATATCAAAGGAGTACATTGCTAATTCCCTGGCTAGAATGGAACCACTTAATATATTTGCACTAAATGGAATGCTTACATGAAAACTTGTATCAAGAGAAGCAGAGGGACATCATGAGCAATGGGGGAAAGAGAGTGAGATAGTATTGTTCCCCAGACTAGCCTGATGAGGACAGGAAAAGGGGGCTCATCAGCCTCCAAAGTCCCTTTCAAAGAAAAGGCATCCACAATATAGGCTGTTGCAGTTTTGCTTATTTTTATGCCTGAAATACACACTAAAAGCCTCAAGTGACAATACAAACAATACATGGCTGACAGATATTCTCCAAAATTTATCTCCATTGCCTTGCTTATCCTCTAAAGAGCCCATCTTGTTGATTCTCTAAAATAAGACTAAACACTCATCTTTAAGCTTTTTTTAGTATGAAGAGTCATTTCAATTACACTAGCAAGAAAAAGTGCTGTTCCATAACAGGTTGATGCACATCTGTATGTACAGGTATCTCATAAAGATACCAGAACAACAAAAACAGAATAGAAACTTTGAGAATTCAAATGCAGCTCTCAGCAAGGCAAACAGATCCAATGAAAATCTCTGAGCAAGCACAGATCAACATCTGCTGTTGCAAAAGTAAGGTAAGACTTACTAAAATGCTTACTTCTCATAAATTCCAGGGAGTTACATTTTGATTTATAGGTGAGATTAAACAGAGATCTAGTGAGGTGAAAAGAGAAAACAGAATATAGGAGGAAAGTATTGAACTCCCACAGAAATCCCAAGGATACTCCCTCTAAGGCATTCCTGAAGACTTCTTGGAAGAAAACCAACTCTATATCCCAGCCAAAACCAACAAAGAAAAAAAAAAAAAAAAGAAGAAAAAAAGAAAACACCTGTAAGAACAACACTACAAGTGACATTTCAAAGAAGGACAAAAAAGTAAGATTAAGTAATAAACAGAGAGACTTGATTAGGTTATATCTTCAGGTGATCTATAGAAGGATTTTCAATAACTACCCCTCAAATTACAATTATACATCAATTATTTGCAGTGAAAATCTCATGGACAATGCTAAATCAAAATGGAAAAGGAAACCATACTTTAAAATACTGCAAGGCAAGATACCTATCTTATGATTTAAAAATTCTGAGGAAACACTCGAGACAGCATAAATTCTTCTTCAAAGTCAAAAGTCTATATGAATTTACTTGAGAAATTAAGTCACTAAAATTTTAGTTTATTGGGCTGTGGCAAGGGAATGGAAAAACCTTTAAAAGTACTAGATAAAACACAAATGAGTGCTTTACAATCTACCCACACCCAGCCATTCAACAGCAATTCCATCTTGATTGAACAGCTCTGCTGCTTTTGGCTCTGAAACCACTAATGGTAAATAAATTAATGTCAAAGTTGTTTCTCTTCCACTACTTAGATGCTTGTGTCATTCCATAAGCTAA